ACTATTAACAATTAATGCTCGGATTTCTAGGATGGGTTTACTCTAATTTGAATAAAAGGCCTCGAGGGAAGGGTCAGTGAACTGCCAGGAATCAATCTTTCATGAGCAGCCTTTGGTTCTCTTTGCAGTATTTATGAGTGACAAAGCTGTCCTGACAAGGCAGAGTTCAGTGTGACAGCAGGACCAGGTTTCCTAACCCACAGTGTGAGTGATTAGAGGAGGGGCACAGAGTGGGAGCAGGAGGAGATGTGTCCATCCCCTTCCCTGAGTGTCCCTGGAGCACTGATCCCATGGGACTGTGCCTTGCACGAGGCCCTTCCCACTCCAGGCCAATGAACACAACACTTCAGGGAAGGCAATAAAAACCATCCTTTGGAACTTTCTCTTCAGCCTGATGGGTGATGAGCAGAAAAGTTCTGAAGGGATAAATGCATTTAACCTAATTGAAGCTTTGCAGGGAAGGAGGGGTGTGCAGTCAGTTGATGTGAGGTAAAATAACTGCCTTGGCTTGTTAAATTTGCCTGATGTAGGAAAATGTTCCTTCTTTTGGAAGAAAGTCGCTCAAGTCACTCATAATTTCTGCAACTGAACTGGGAATAGAAATAACTTATTTTGAGTCACAGTTCCTGTGAATATTCTTCATGTGGCTCCTGCAGATGTGTCCAGCTGTGTAAATGTGCACAGTGGGACAGGCCAGCAATTCTTCCTGTCCCAGCCCACAGCCACTCAGGCTGTGCAGCCTGGCATTAAATACATTTTGCCTTGTAAAAAAGGAAGAAAAATACGGTTAATAGCTTTAAAATCTCCTCTCAGTTTAAAAAAAACGTGTTTTTTCATCCACTGAGTTCCACAGACTAAAGCCTTCAGCTCTGGGAGCAAGGCTTGGTTTGTGTTTTTTTTTTTTAAACTGCTCTGTAAAACACCTCGGAACGTTGCTGGTGCTGTTCCAATAATGAAGATAGCGAGGCAATTTCCCTTGTTGGTGATAAAAACAAATCCTTCAGGTGTCGGGAAGGATGGAGGGATTTATTACCCTTCATTGGGTATTCACTTGGCCTGTCAGGTAGTCAAGGCAGGGCCTTTTTCCATGTGTTTCCTGCCTCCCACATTCCCATGGCATCAGCAGAGCCCAGTGCATTGCTTCTCTCTCTTGTCTTCCCGAGTTAACACCCCCTCCCTTTCTTTTTTTTATTTTTTTTTTTTATTAATGTCAAAAGACATTTTCAGCCCTGCAGGGGACAGGCAGCATTACTGTCTGGGCTCATGTCGAGTTATTAATTTAAGCCCAAATTTCAATTTCAGATAGCCTGGGGTGAGTCTCCTGCACTGGCAGCCCCTCATCATTCCAGCCTGGCCCCGGGAATAACCTTTGCCTGCCTCATTACCCCCGTGCATGGCTAATGGCACCAGGTACAGGGGATTACAATGAGCATGGGGTAAAATGGGGCATGGCTGGCTGGGATATTTTATAATGGATTCCTCACCTGTTTAGAGAAATGACAGGCAGCAGGGAACTTGTTCTTCCAGGAGTATGGGAGGGGGAGATGCACTTTTTAAAGGTGTGCTGGTTTAAAGGTGAACCAGCAGGGGAAATGAACCCAACTCAAAGGAGAGATTATAAATCAGAATAACAATAAAATAATACAATAAGTATGATTATACTTATACTTGGTTTTAACCCCCAAAACCCAAATGTATAACCCAGCACCCTGGGGCAGGAACAGAGTGGTGTTTGTTGGGCCCCCTGAGTCCAAAGGAAAAGGAGAGGGAAAAACCTGTTGGTGAGAGGGGTGGTGCAGTCTGGGCAAGAGTGGTGGTCTCAGTCTGGTTGAGAGAGGTGGTCACAGCCCTTCTCTGGATCCCACGAGTGGTTAAAAAAATCCCAAGACCCCAAGATTATCTATTCTCCAGTTCAGGCAGGAATGCCCAGCACCTCCCTCAGGGTGGGGAGTTCCACACTGGGGGTGAGGACAGGAGCACCCTCCTGTCTCCCAGTTCCACACTGGGGGTG